GGGGCGCCCGGGGGCCCCCCGACTGCCCGCCGCGGCCAGGCCCCAAAATCGGCTGCGTAAGGAGCCGCTGGTCCCCCCATGGGAGACGGGCTTCCCCGCAGCCAGCCTGGTGCGGCTCTGTGCCCGTGCCTGTGCTGCCCACCTTGTGGCACATACCACCCTGCCTGGACGCTTTCTGTTTAAGAATATATGATATGTTTTAGAGTTAAAAAAAAAAAAAAGTTTTCCGTAAGGCTGTTGATCCAACTAGCATGAAAAAAATGTGTAGCTGGATCTAGAAACTAGTGAGAGGCACTAGATCTTTGCTGTGTCCTTTCACTTTGTTGCTGTATGTCATCATCCGTCTGTTAGACTCTTATCCTGTGACCTCGTACCTCTTTTTAGTTTTTACTCCTGATCAAAAATATAATATATGTGTTGATATCCAGATAGAAATGATTAGCTGCGTTGCATGGGAAGGTTGCTGTGTCCTATCTTTAGGGCATTTTAATCATTCCTTTTCTAGAACAAAGATAGCAATGTGCATAAATGTACATACCATGGTACCTAGAAGAGACTACAGTTCTAAATTCAAAGGTGAAAGACTACTTGCACAAGTCACTGCATGGCAAGTCCTTTTAAGAAATAACCGTGTTGGCCATATGGTATTGTAAGGGGCAATAAAAGTGAGGAATAGTGAAACCAAACCAAAACTAATTTAATGCTGAATAGATTTTTTTTTCCTAAATTTGCTTTATGTGGTTGATAACTCTTGATATGGAGAAAATATTTTTAAACAGTATTCTTTCAAATCAGCACTGTTCAGTATGTGTGAAATGAAATGGAAAAAATAATCTTTAAAAACTCTGTTTTGAGAAAGATGCTGTGCTTCATAAGTTCTCAGGTTGAAGAGGCAATAGAAAAAGCCACCTGGTATTTACTGTTTCCATTTTACTTGAGCATAGCAGAGGAAGGTTTTAGGCTATGCTCTTTAAAACAGGCATAATGGATTGTTCATTGTTATCTGAAAATGCTAGTGTAATATATGGGCTTATCATTCAAGTTAAGCAAAGCTGGAGGCTTTGTTTTTTGTCTAGAACACAATAGCTCCACTCCCCTTTTAAAAGGTAAACATATTTTCCAGTGAAGCTGTTACTCAAGTGTTGTTGCTTGATTAGGAGAGTAAAAAATACAAGCAAACAGTCAAAAAAATTACCTTAAATCTTTATGATAGAGGTTACAAAACATTGATTTGCAACCTGTGATGTCAGAAATAATAAGAATGTTAAGAAATATTTTAAAATGTGGAAAGTAAATTATAAATCAATAGATTGTTACTAAATTTTATATAATACCTTCTTGCAGAATCGCAAAAGCCTAGACTTGGGACCTGCTAGAATTCAGTATTCTTGTTTTTCCCTAGATTTCTCTCCTGTCTTCTTTCTTCCGCAAGTTATGAGCCCTGGTCTCCTGTCTCCTACTGTCTATTTCAGCTCATTATCTGAATTTGGGACCCCTATTTCCCTGTTTTTTTCTCAGCTTTTAACCTAAACTTTTTGCCCTGCCATGTATAGTCTTTACCTTGGCTTTTAACCTGAAATCCATTCTGTGCTTCAATCCCTTTTCATAAATATATGTATATATATACATATATTTGATTCTTTGAGTTTAATCCCAATAATCGTACCTGTAATTAATGCATTTGACCAGGAAACCTTATTTGGAACTATTAACATCACTTGAGTAATAAATACCCATGAAAAAGATTGTCTGGTGTACAATTCTCAGTATTGAGGTAACATGAAAAGCGTAATATTGTTTGAGGATATCCAGTTATTAGCACAAATTGTGTTTTTTCAATTTTCTTCCAAGGTTCCTGGCAATGATCTGGTGCTTTGGCAGATAAATGTACCATTTGTTACTTTATATCATAACTTTATTATTTTGTTCCTATAGTTTGTATTAAAAATTCATAAAAAAGCCTTCCTTTCCTGTCTTTTCCTTCTACAGTGAAATGGTCCCCCTTGTTACTTAGGTGACAATGCACAGTTCTTGGAATTGCCCCAGTGATATATGGGAAGATGTTATAAAAGGATAACGACTCAGATACACAATAAAAAATGCAATAGAACTATTAATAAATAAACAGTCACTGTAAATATTTTACAGTACTGATTTACAGCACTGCGTATTTTGAAAAAAAAAACTTATTTTTGTCAGCAACAGAATTAAAAATAGCGGAAAATAGTTTTTGTTCTTTCTTCATGGGTAGTGCTACAGCTAGATGTTCCAAATCGTGCCTGTTTTCTTTTTAGCGTGGAGTCATATAGTTCAAAAATAGCAAATTCTTGGGGATAAAATTGGCATTTAGAACATTGGTCGATTCCCTGCTGTGGCCTGTGGAGCTGGTTTCAGTGCTCAGCAATATCCTGTGTGCGGGCAGCACATGCAGGCTGCTCGTGGCATGGGAAAAGCCCAGCCAAACCCAGGTGTCATTTCTTCTAATGTGCTCTTTACCTCAGCACGAGATGTTTGGCCAGTTAACTGACACTCATGAAAATCTAGGTGAGGCAGCTTTACATTTTAATGAGGACATCTTCAAGTGCTCTGTTCATTAACATTGCAACATTAGTGTGTTTGAGTTATAGATCTACTGGATACATCAGTATAGTAGTTAATCTGTTAGTTTTTGTTGTTATTGATGTGCTTTTTTATTTTTGGAGAAATACAGACATGTCTTGCACAGCTAAAATTGTCATGGACAGCTCTGTCCTGGAATATAAATTCACTCTTCTGCTCTTGTCCTTCTACTCTTCTTGGTTGATGGTGTTTTTGTGAATATTGAAACAAGTTTTAATTCCACAGGCTGAAAACTTAGCTGAGAGTTTGTGGTGTTCAGCACCGATGAAAGGTTGATCAAAATCAGAGGAGTGGATGGTGGTTTTCACATTTTCCTGTTGCTACCTTGGAATATAAAATGCTTCCATGCAGTAATACCATGTTTTTTATACCTAGAAGCTGTCTGCTAAGTGTTGGTGCAAGCCAGCAGAAGAGGGTTAACAGTTGAATATTGAAAAGTGTCTTGTGTGATATTTTATTGTGAGTTATTCTCAATAAAACACTTGAGAAGTCTTATTAGGATAACTACCTTTATGTAGTTTGAATCAAGTGAATCATATGTAAGGTCCATTTTAATGCATCCACAATATCCTGAAAATTTGGGAGTGTGGTTACAACACCAGATTTGAGAGAGCCCTGTATTCTGTTTTACAGACAGCTGTGTTATCAACTAATGCATATTTAAACTTCACATTTTTACATATTTCAGCCTTTGAATATTTAAAGTAGAAATTTATCGCAGTGTCTTATGCGGCCATTGCTGGGTATCTTCCTGGTTGCCATACTGACTTGCTGTTCCAAAGGGAAGATTATGCAAAAAAAAAAGCGGGGTGGGGGGAGAAAAAAACCTTTTGTCTTCTGTCCAGTTGTGGTTCTCTGTGATCTCTGGAGTGAAAGGTTACATTTGCTGAAGCCTTTTCCTGGGAGAACTGGTTTTACCTTTTATTTTGAAGGTTCTGTTAACTTCTTATTAGCTTTAGTTTGTCATTCCTGTTTTCATAAACTTTAAAGTGGTTTCTTGCCCCCCCTCCTTCTTTTTTGGTGAAGGTAATACGTGCTGTTTTTATTTCTCAAAAGACAGGAAGCGAAAATTCTTTGTGGAAGGTATACTGGTTCTGTAAGATAAGGAATAGTTGGTACTGAGAATAAAGACTACTTTAAAAGAACGATGTTAATCTGTATATAGCCTGGGGGAAAATGCCCTGGGTTTGCCTTTTGTTGCATTTTAACCTAGAAGCTGACAAATTATTTTACTACATTGTTCTTTAAGCTTGATATGAGTCAAATGCTAGAATAGAGAGGTACTCAAATAATACGGCTTCCAAAGAAGCGATTGTTCCCATGTCCATGCTTTTTATTGTCAATTTTTTTTGTTTTGTTTTACAGTAATCTAGCATGACTGTTAATTACTTCAAAATATAAGTAATTTAAGGCATTATTAATGATACAAAATGCACGCACTTTCGTTTCTTTGATACTGGTAGGGTAAAAGTTATATTTAACTATGAAACTTTCTAAACATGGCAGATGGCAAGCAGATGAGCAGTACAGATACAATCTACAAATGAAAAGTTACTTGGATGATAATTTGAGACTTAGTAAATGGAAATGTTTGTCTGTTAGGGCATATGGGATCTTTTTGTACTAGGCAGGCAGAGAGAAGAGGTTAATAAATGAACATATATTTTTTTTTTCTGCTTTATATGATGGAACACCTTACGCTTAGCCTCTGCATTCCACCAGTAGCTGTGTAGTTTCAAGTCTTTGCTGCTATATGATGCTCTTTTGGCAGAATTACACACCCTGCAATAGCCAGTCTCAAAAGTTGCTCGTGCTGTAGAAACAACAGCAGGTAGCAAACAGCTCTGTATGAACAAATGAGAGATTTCCCTCCTGGTGACTGACTGCAGCATGATGAGAGTGTCAGACTGAGGTCTGTGTCCTGCAATTGACTGTTTTGAGGAGCTGTCTCTGAATTTGTTGTTACACATGGACTTTCCTAAGCAGTGTTAATTTATTATCTACATCAGAAATATAATATTGAGAAACATGGGATAAAATAACACAATTAAGAGCCCTAGCAATATGGATTTTCTTCAGCCTTTAAACTCTTCCTACCCAAAGTATTTGGTCCTTGCTCAGAGAGTATACACACTCACAACACCAGCCTGTCTTTCAGCCACTAAGCCACATAGAATATTGATTACCTGCCCCTTTTGCTTAGCCAGCTAATAGTGTCTTTCGGTCTTTTAGGGAGTAAACCTTCACAGGAGTATGTTCTATTAACTTGTTAGTAGTGTGGTTCTGTCCTTAGCACTTTTGTTCTCTGACCTGCTTCTAAGTTCCGTACTGTGACTATCTTTGTGTCAGTTCTTTCTGAGATTAAGGGTCCCTGGTTTCTCCCGACTCTTTGATTACAGGAAGCCTTTGATATAAAATCGATGGTGGAGGCTGTCTCATAGATAATTAAAGCATTTCCCACTTGGCTTCTAGGTTAGCTAGGGGCAAAGTAAGCAGTTCCATGGAAGGTCACAGCAAAAAATTCCCTGAATTCAAAGGGACAAGGAAGTTGGCCAATCTGTATCAGTAAAAAGAAGGATGGTGTTCTAGATGTTCTAGACTATAGGGCAGTTATGAGTAAAATATGCAGTAAATAATGATATTCAGTATATATATGTATATTTTTTTTTCCAGAACACCAGCTCAGTAACTGTGCCAGAAACACTGTTGTTTGTTTCAACTCTTGATGGAAGTTTGCATGCTGTCAGCAAGAGGACGGGTGCAATCAAATGGACTTTAAAAGAAGGTGGGTAGTAGATGTCCTGATATTCTTTGTTAATTACCTTGGCTAATTCTCTAAATACTGCCTTGTTGCTGTATGCTTTCTTTGCAGATAGTGATTTATATAGGTAAGGTTCTAGTGTTCCATGTTATGCTCATGTTGTTATACAGAAGTATCCAGTGGGAAGTTGCACATGCTAAAAGCAGTGTTTTTGCAGGTGCCATTTTACCCTGACAGTGTAGGAGACAATAAACCATATGTTGCAGTTCACGTAATTTGAGAAGTTCTGGAGGTCACCTGAAGTGCTGCAACCGCATTAGTCAGTGAGAGACAGTTTTATAATTCACTTAAGTAGATAGGGCTGCTTAACAAAAGGCAATTCATATACATTTTATTTTAGTTGGGAGAAAAACCTATGTAGTGTTCATTATCAGGTGATACTTAAAAAAACATGACAATCTTGCCGTTAAATTGTTTTAATTTAGCACTGAAAGTTATCTCTAGGTATGCAGAGTAAATGAGGCTGTCACCACAATAATGTGTTTGGGTTTTCTGTCTTTGCCTAATGCTCCCAAGAAAGGCCATCTGAATACTTTTGTTTGTCTCATAAAGTAGGCAAAAAACCTGGGGCAGTTAGTAATGAGACTCACCAGTAGTTCAGAAATAAAACTGGGTTCCCTGTGGTTATAAGTAGAGAGGTTCTGGGCTCATTTGTTGACGGTGCGCAGTGTGTTCATTTCCTCTTGGCTTCTGTGGTATCTGATAGTTTTCAGCGTTTTTGACTGGCCAGGTGACTCATGCTGCTCATTCCCTAGGCCTTGGAAAGCTGGAATATGACAGTCAAGTTAATAGGAAGAACCCATGTTCCTTCCCCTAAATCTATTTGGGCCCAGAAAAAAAAAAAAAAAAAAAAAAAGGTATGGAAAGGCTCCCGGCTGTGACACTCATTCAAGAGCAGAGACTAAGTAAAGCTCTGAGTGCCATCTGTGATCAATAAAAGCAGTTGTTACTTCTGAGTGACAGTGTGATGGGCGCCCTCATTTTCTGCACTTGCCGTTAGCAAGGTACTGGGTGAGCTTCCATCAGGGCTGACAGCTGTCTTCTTGCAGTAGTTCGGTGCTGTTTGAATTATGTGGGTAGGCGCTGGCATTGAAACACAAAATATTTAAATGGGGTTAAGAGTGTCATAAAAACAGGGCACTGTACAATTCTGAGGTCTGCAATATCTGAGTCATCTTGATGGAGGTTTAGCCCTTTTCCTTTTGATCTGTTATTTCGTAGTTGTCTTCCTGCATGTGAGAAGAACCTGTGTATACAGCATCTCCTGTGATTAATCCGTAAGATTACTTAGGTTGAAATCTCTTCCTTCCCAGAATTGCTGGAAATGGAACTTCTCTCATTTGCTTTTTTAAAGGTGCAGGGATACAGCACTTTGGGCTTGCTGTTACATGATATTGCTGGTCAGAAAAATGACAGTGATAAAGATGATGGCAAGTTGGCAAGAAGGAATCTGGAGAATAGTTTTTACTTAATGTCAGCTTTCATATAGATTCTGTTTTCAGTGGGACTTGGTGATCTTGGGCAGGGCATTGTTGTTCTTGTTGAGCAGGGTGTTTTATTCTTCTGCCAATCATTCCTGTGTATCCTTCTGTATTGTCCAAAGCCATGTCTTTACATTCACCTCTTTAAAAACTCATTTGCCTAGGAATTGTTTTAAAATGATCTTCCAAAGAACACTTAACAGGTTTCAGTCTAGATTTACAGTAATTGGAAATTTTGTTATGATCTTCAGTTCACTGTAGCAATAAAAAATGTGGCCCACATACATTGCTTTATTTATTTATTTATTTTATTTCTGAGACATTACTCATGGCCTGTGGACTACAGTAGACTAGTTAAGATAAACATATCAAGACTGACTCAATTAGTACTCCAGCCCGTAAATTATGAAAAGGCCAATCAAGATCTATAGATCTTTCTCTGATATCAATGATTATTCCCAACTAGAAAGAAGTATTTTGGTCTCAGAGCTAATAAGGACTCAGAACAAAAGGGCCATAGAACCATATCAATTTCAGCAAACTCAAGGCTCTTGGTGAAAGGGGATCCTTTTGTGTTTGTGAAATAGGGAGAAGATTGAAAGGGCAAAATGATTATATTTAGCAGTAGGCTTATATTTTCAAAAATTGCTTGTATATCTTTGTTGCATATGTGTTTACAAAATATGGGTTAGACTTATTTTAGAAGAATCTAAAACATGCTATGTGCTTCTGCCCAATCAACAGCAAATGATACAGGCACAGGTATTTTCAGGCCATGATGCAAAGAAAGCTGTTTTGGGACATCTGCTTCCTGCCAGCTCAAAATCCCAATCTTAGTGACATGTGATTGTCCCCAATTAATTGAGTAAACTACTGGCCATCTATTATGTTCACATATTTATAAGTACTTCTGTGTTGTGCATAAGTTCCTGAAGTTCTAGAATAAATGCTTAGGATGTAGAATCAATGTTCTTTTCAGTCTTTTTCAGTCACAGTTATTGCACAGATTTTTTTTTTTATAATAAGTTGTTAAAATGGAAGCTCGTGAATTCTTACAGAATGTTGATTTTGCAGTCCAACAAAGACAGGGAAATGTATTGTTCTGTTTAATGGTAATTTTATTCTACTGTCTGTGTTGTTGAGTTTTAATTGGCTTTGCAACAGTCAAATTCACAGCTATGTTTTCTTAGTCTAGATATCGGAATGCCTTTGGACAGGCTTTCTTAGAAAACTTTACATAAGCAATCTCAAGAAATTCCTTTCTTCTGATACAGGGAATGGAAGCCTAGGGGATAGGGTAGAAGCAAATGTATTTCTGCACTGTTCTTTCTTTCCTTATTTATTTTCTGATGACATTTTCTCTATAAAGGTTTTGTTCCAATATGTGTGGTTAATTGGTTGTCATCATTGTTGTTGATACTGGAACAGATCAGGCCTTTTGGAATGACTTGCCTAATGACAGGGAACTGCAGTTCAAGGAAATTTTGAAAGCAGGATTATTTGATTGTAGTCTCAACATGCTAACACTTGAGTGTTAAGTTGCTAAAGAGAAGGTAAGACCCCCCCTTGGAGTTTTGTAAGAACCTTTTCCAGTTGTTTCATTGTCGTAGTAAAGGTGACTTTTGTTTTAAGAAAACTCACTACATTCTTTTACTAGTCTGCATTTAAATGTCTTAGGGCTACTATAACACCTGGCAACAGAATTAAACTCATGAGGTTCTCTTTCTATCTCAGAGGAAGTTTTTATTTCAAAACAAACTTTGAAATAAAGTTGGAGTATGTTCCAAACCACATGAAAGTGAATGAGAAGAGTTTGTTGTCTTTGAAGAATCTTTGCAGAGCTGCAATCTTATTTCAAGATAATGAAGGTGTTAAGAAAATAAGAAAAAATGCTTCATCTCTTTAGCTAGGAATGCAGAGAAATTATTTTCCACAGTTAATCTTTCCAAGTGGACTGTATTAGTAGTAAAATAAGAGTTACTTTAGCTTAAAGTTAAGTTTAAAAGAAAATCTACTCCCTCATGAATTTGTTTCACTCAGTAGGAATAGCCTCTTGCCTGGAAATGCATTTGAGTTGTGTGTTTAATACTAAATGTTGTCTAACAGTTCATATACAACACTCACTGTTTCAGGAAATCTTTTTCATCAGTGTTTTGGTTAGTTCCAGTAAGTAGCACAAACATTTCCTGCTACATCATAATAATGTCTTAATTTGGTCTCTCTACCTCCTCTTTATCATTCCTACTAAATCAAGTTTTAGCTACTGACAAAACAAGTAAAAGAATTTTTCACTGCTGATAAAGTACTGTTTTCCTTGGTATTGAAGATGTGATACTAACAAAAAAATTCATGAACTTTGTCATAGTCATGATGGTTCTGCAAGGCACTCACTGAATAACTCAGTAATAGGTTTTTGGTGTTTTTTGGAATTGAACTCATTATTTTCATAGGACTGCTGGTATTGTTTAAGTGTAGAATACATTATTGTTATGATATTTTACCAAGAGCTTTTAGAAACTTGGGAGAAAAAAAGCTTAATTCAAGTAAATGTTCCATTTGCATGTGTTTTATTTCACTTCTTTGGTGTTAGGTTATTGATAATAGGGCACTTTTCACACTTTTGAGACAGCAGTGAGCAGAGTAAAGCACTTTAATAGATTGTCAGGTCTCAGAAAATGACTTGAATTCAAGCTATTGTTCCAGAAATGCTGTGTATTTATTCGCTCAATTTTGGGAGGCAAGGGGGAGCTACAGGAAAGCGTTACAGTCACACCCTTTGCAAATGTAATATGATCAAATGTTTAGATCTTCATAAGCATATTTTAAAAATTAGATTCCTAGATTGACTGACTGTAAAGTGATATTTAAGATACTTAAGATATTTAAGAAAATCTGTGTTATACTTTTTTTTTTTTTTTTTAAAAAAAAAAGTGTATATGCTTAGTTAAACTTTAAAAAACAAGTCATGCAGCTTTGTTATCACTAACAATCTTTTAAGGAAGATGTATTCAGAGTTAGGTAAGTTGCTCAAGTGCTGTAGCTGAAGACTGCTGTTGTTGAGCAGTAGTGTAAATCACCACTGGCAGTTTATTTTCTACTGCATGAGAAACTGTAATCATTTCATCAAGAGAACTGCAGAGTGTATTTGGCTTTTGCCTTTAGCAACGCTTGTGGCATTTGTGTTAAATCTTACCTTCACTGAGGCAGCTGCCATTTTCTGCTGATTTATGATCCCAGAACCTGCATTTTTTCCTTTCTATGAGGTATTTATGATTCCAAAAATTTTAGCCTGTGCTTGCTAATGTCTCTTGCTTCTTTAGTTTCTTTCAGCCAGGCTCAAAGATACTTTGAATTTTTTTAAAAATATCTTGCTTTTAGTAGGTGAGGTCTTCAATTTTTTTTTTAACTTGCTTATATTTCTTTATACTGAAGGGATGATTTTGTAAGTCACTAATTGTGTTGCACTGGATATCCTAAAGCTCTCGGATTATTTGAAGCAAGCACTAAGATATAATTAGGGTATAATCAACTTCGTATTTTTCCTTCCCAACATAACTTGTATCTTGAGGCCAGTTTCTTGGAATTGAAGGTTGGAATTGAATTGCTTGTAATAGTTCAGTGGAATAAAAGTCTGACCCTGTAGTGTGGTCTGTAGAGACAGATACATAATTGAACTGCTTGGGTCCTTTGAATGGAAGTTATTCTGAAAGACTTTTGATATGCACTTGTGACTTGTGGTGGGTTCTTGATGAATTACGTGGAGTTTGTGATATAATGTGAAGCTCTGTACTTACATATCCCCATCAGTGCCCAGCGGTAATGGTGATAATTCATTCGTCCAGAGAAAATTTGCTCAAGACAGATAATCTTGTTACCTCTTTTCTGTGACTCCATGTCATTGCCAAAGACTTCTGAGAGTAGCAGCTGAAATTGCCATCTTTGTGGCCTTTTTCTTTGCAGCCCTACGTGTGAGGCTTCAATATAAGATTGCATGGCTAGGCTGTTCTTGCTTCTTCTTTTTGGTCATGCCACTAGAGGAAGTGGCCCAACGTCTGCAGCAGCTGGTGGGAGGTCTGTGCAGTTCTGGCACATGGGACTTCCTCAGGGCTGCAGAGCCACTGCCATAGACAGAATTTGCTCTGCCACAGGGGGACTGCTGGTTTTGCTAAAGCAGGAGAGGCCAGTGCAGTGGTGAATAAGAGCATGATGAGGGAATAGATCAAGCATGAAACCCGACAAGACCATTCTCTGCAAGCATTCAAAGCTGGAAGAGAGCACTGCCATCTCTCCTGTTAACCGAGTTATTCCCAGAAGCCTAGTGTGCTTTTGAGTAGTTTATCTTGACAGCTCTGAGGAAATGAAATATCTAGAATATTGTTTCCAGGCTTAAAAAGAAATATGCACGCACACACACACACACACACACACACATTTAGTTATCTTTGGAACAAAATTACTCTGAAAATATTTACTGTGCAAAGAATGGATGAAAATAAATAGAACTCTATTTTCCCAATCAGAGACTCTCATAACATCATTGTTCTTGTTCTTATTTCCTTCCTCTTGCATCATGTTGTTTTGTGTGGAGAGAGGAAAAAAGTATGTGTTTGCTTAGTCATCTTTAATCTGTTTTTCTTACTATTTTTTTCCAGTATGGGTGCATAGAAAAGTTTTACTGGGAGGACCATTTAAGTGAAAAAAATCATTAAAATAATTTTGCATTGTCCTTGGCATTTGTCTGTTTTTCGATTACATGCTAATCACATAAGTTGTCATTTGGAATAGGAGGTGGAAATAAGTTTTTCTGGCTTGGATCAGAGTCTTCCTCTGAAGCCGTTGACAGTTCCCATTGATTTTGGGAGGTGTAGAACCAGGCCTTCAGTTTATATGTGGCATTTGAAATTAAATGTTACATTGCCCAAGAAGCATATGCTTTCCTGCCTGATTAGAGGTACAAAGTAGCAGAAGATCATACAATACAGATTAGAAAGCACCAGGGTGGCCCTCTTTTTGAAAATATCAGGATGCATATTGTCCTTTCTCGTACAGTTTCTGCAAATATCCATTAGCTGTAGCATATTTTTAAGTAAAATTTGTTTTTGAAGCCTGTACAGTGACAGAAGTTGCTGCAAATTATGATCAGCCTTCTGCTCGGTCAGTACCTGGGATCACACACATTTATTGAAAGTAAGAAGCTTCATTTGCACCTCTAGGGGTGGTGCTGACATACTCTGCATGCTCTGGACTAGTGAGGAATACAGATAATATGGAAGATAGTGCTTCTCCAGGTCTGCTCCCAGGGGTGGCAGACTAAGCAAAGGTAGAGCTGGGTAAAGTTTAAAACTTGGAAGTTTCATACTTTCTCTAGTTACAAACCTAACTTTCATAAGCAAACAGGAGGTTATTGAGGGCACTGCTCTGTCAAGCTCAGTGCCACAGCTTTTCGAAACGGAGCAAGTTGTTGCAGGCCTGACAGTCTTGAGTTTGACGATTTCAAGGAGTTGAACTGCCGGTACCATGATTTTTCCTTGTTCTGTTTATGCAGATCCTGTGCTCCAGGTGCCAACACATGTGGAAGAGTAAGTCTGTTCCCTATGTCTCATTTACTGCTTATTTACTTTTCACCGACAGCTTTCTCAGTGACAAAGATCACTGACATTATTTTATTTATTTTATTCTGTGGCATTTTAAAAACATACAGCTATTGCTTAAAAGCTTTCACCCAAGTGACTGATGGCTCAGCATGTTTGGAGCTTTGACTTTTTGAGTGTGTTCATGTTATATCAGGTCTGAAATGTTTACATTTTATCAGTTTTCTTTAGAGTTGCAGTTAAATGAAATCTCAAAAAAATGCACAGTACAAAGCCAAAAAGATTTCTTCAGAAGGCAAATACTGCCCATAGTTGTTTTCCTGATCTCTGAGAACAGAGATCAGCACAGCTGTTGCTTTACCTGTTTTAACTGCTTAAATCCTAGACCAGCGTTTCTTCCCGACCCAAATGATGGCAGTTTGTATACACTTGGTGGCAAAAATAATGAAGGCTTGACTGTAAGTGTGCTTTGCATATTCTCTGATAATTTTTAGACAAATACATTAATCAGATTCTCATGGAGGATAAGTACCCAAAGGAACTTTATACTTCTTGATAGTACTGTGACATTCTGCAGGCTGGCTGTGTTTTTATACTCCTTATGGGAAGAATTTCAGTTCTGTAGAAAAGCTTGATCTCGCTAGCCAAAAATCAGCTTCTCCTGCCTGTGCCAAGGTTAGGTTACGTGTTCCTGGGAATGACAACACCCTCTGCTGTGTTGCTAGCAGCTTTCCAGAGTGAAAACATACTTAATAAGACAGAAAATTTGCCACTTTTCTTGAGACCATCAGGATATGGTTTCTGGATTTAAAATAACAGCAGCAGACACATTTGCTTTGTCCACTTATTTTTTTCTAGAACTTGTTTTTCTAGAACTTGTTAAAATAATGGTGAGGACAGATAACATTTGTGTGGCATATGTGAATAACTTCTGTGTTCCCGGATGGAAAAGACGTTGCCAGAATAACACAAATCTTATTTGCTAAAACTGTTTGCCAAAACACATGGTAAATATACCTTCTGCGCTAATACCTTTAGGAGATGTCTTTGTAGAAGGCAGCAGCAAGCGGGGAAAAAATGCTGAACCTTTTCAAAATAGTCACCAATACATTTAACTCACAGATGTTAACTGATGCTTGACTTTTATTTTTAAAATTTGTAATGAAACTTGGATAAAATGTTTCAGGTTCCCACAGGTCTTTTTTTTTTCTCCCTCTGGCGGCTGTTGTGACTTTCTTTAAGACTCAATATTGTTAAATGTTTTAGTTTCTACTCACTACTTTCACCTCCAGTCACCCCAAGTACAGCTAGATGCACCATCATACTTTGTAAAAATATTGTTGGTTCTCTTCCTTGGTGAATCTAGGAGCAGCAATCTGTTTTAATTACCAAGCTTCCTTTCTTCTGATAATCTCCCTTTTTTTGAATTAAGGTAAAATATTTCTGGTTGGATACACTTTTACAAAATGTTTAGATCACAGTGGGGTCATTTTAATAATTTTTTTTAAAGGCCTGTTCTTTAGTATTTCTGTCGCCTGTCCCTTAGTATCCTGTAACCTCATCCTGATAAAAGCCTCTTAAAACTTAGCAAGAATATTTGCCCAGTATGTAGATGAAGACTATTGCACAAATTTAAACAAGCCTTTGTTTTTCTCCTGCTGCTAGAAACTGCCTTTTACTATCCCGGAGCTGGTGCAGGCATCTCCCTGTCGCAGTTCAGATGGGATTCTGTACATGGGTGAGCTCAAATTTATTTTAGATTTTGAAATGCTCAGGAACTAGAATATATAGCCTCAGACAGAGGACATGGAAATACTTTTTTGGGGAATTATTAATTAGGTATTATTTCATCAATCTTTCCAATGTCAGAGAATCTGAAGAATACATAACTGAATTGCTGTGTGAAGATAAAAAGCCAACTACTTTTCCTGAGGGAGGGAATGACTTTTCTGAGCAGTGAATAGGCTGCATTGGGTCTTTGGATTTCTTTCTCAACCAAAAGTGATTTTTTCTAAAATCTTCTCATGCTTGTAAATACAATAGTCCGACTGAATGGTATCGGGTTAATGTTTCTTAAATCATGGTTTCAGGTAAAAAGCAGGATATTTGGTACGTGGTCGACCTTATGACTGGGGAGAAACAGCAAACTTTGACTTCTTCATTTGCAGAAAGCCTTTGCCCATCAACATCCCTCCTGTACCTTGGGAGAACAGGTCATATGCTTTTTTTTTTCCTCAGCTTAGAAGAAAGATTCTTGTTGGTTTTTTTTTTTTTGGTTTGGTTTTGTTTTGTTTTTCAAAATTGTAACAAGTGACTTTAACCAGTTTAAGTTTTCAAATTTACTTAATTTCTTTGAATATTTTCATGTAAATATTTTAAGACTGCACAGAAAAATTACTGACTCTTCATAATAGTGGAACAATAACATTTTTTTAGCCCTGGGAGTAGACACGGTGCACTATTCATTCTGTTGACTAAGTGGCATTTATTCTATCTTTAATGCTGCTTTGCAGTAACAGCTAAAAGCCTAAGTTTACATCTGTAACATAGTCATAAAAAGAGTTAAAGCAAAATGGAGATAACAGTGTATTCACTGAAAATACAAATGTTATTCTAAATAACTATCAAATTCGACCAGGAGCCAATGTATATTGACTAATGAAAAAGAGTGAGTCTTAGAGAGTTAGACTTTACCTCTGCATGAAGCTGTTCTTTAAATAGTCTGAAGTGTGCCAGCTCAGTTATACAGCATAAATGTTGAATTTTAGAGTGCAAGGTTTGGAAACTCGTAAATAAAAGAGAGTACATCAGAAGAAGTCATCAGAAGCAGTAAAACCCAAAATTCCAGTAACAGGGCAGTAACTGCCTGCTGTGCTTCTCTTGTTCTGAGATTCCTGTAGGCAGTATAAGAGTGGGTTGGATGTTAACATCTTTGGACACTTTTAACATCTTTAGATGTTTATCCTGATTTTAAGAAAAGGAAATGCAGAGAGCATTAAGTAGTATGTGTGGTGCTTTGAGAAGTGTCTAACACTTGAGGTGGTTGATTCTATTCTCTCATAAGTTTTTTTGCTTCACAGACTGTATATTTTTTAACAGAGTACACGATCACAATGTATGACACTAAAAAGAAGGAGCTTCGATGGAATGCCACCTATTTTGATTATGCAGCTACCCTGCCTGATGAAGACATAAAATACAGTAAGAATTTAATTGTTGCCTTAAGTTTTCATATATTGATTATAGGTTTTGCATACAAGAAAAATATCTGACTTTTTTTTTTCTATAATTAATAGGTCATACTGTCTCTCTTACTTTTGTGCAGTTTTTGATCTGCCACTTTTCGTCCTCTGCTCAGATTAACAGCTTGAATCTGTTTCGGCTAAATTTGAGAAACTTAAATCATGTTTGCAATAGCTGTGTTTACCAGATGGGTGCTGCAGAAAGAATGCAAAATAGATTAGTGTTGATAATTGGGAGCAGCAGCGATTTGTAACCCATCTGAGAATTCCAACATGCATTCTTATTATGATGCTAAAAATGGATGCATGTTAACATCAAAATTAGTAACATTAATTAAGGAAACACTATTCCTGGTTGTATAAAATTGAGTTATTTTGCATTTAAAGTAGAGGTTCAGCCTGTTAATTAAAAAGAAAATGGTGTAATCTCCTCAGCATTCACTTTGTGTGGTTTAAGTCCTGAGTAAATAGCATTGCTGCAGATTATTTTTATTTAAAGCTCATAAGTGGGAAGTGGAGTCCTGAAGAGTTAACCCATAAATTTCAAGGCTAGGTCATTACAGCTGAATCCAGATTTATTGCCTATAAAAATACACTTTAAGTTGAAAAATAGAATTGTATGTCAGGTCATGAGATAGAAAGTAGAAAGCTGGTTCTGATTCCTAGTGGATATTTTGCCATACGGCAGAACTATTGTGCAGATAAATTATGCCCTTACATTAAAGCAAACATATGTTGCATTTTCTTTCTTACTGTTGGACTTTTATGAGAAAACAACAACAACAAGAACAAACACAACCTTCTCTCAAGGTCTGGAGTGATAAACACTAAGTACACTTGATACTGGGTTTTATTTTGGTGTCTTGGACACTTGAGCTTCTTGTCTGCGTTCAAGTCGCCCCGCAGCGAGGTTAATCCAACGGCGCGTGCGGGGCCGCCCGCGCTCGCGATCGTGGGTACCGGGCACAGAGCAGGTGCTGCTCTGGCAGCAGGCACGAGTTTCCTGCGGCTGGACACTGAACGGAGGAGCTCCCAGCGTGTCGCAAGGGGCTTCTTAGTCACCCACGAAGGGTCCCCTTTCACCTTGTGATGATGGCATGATTTATATGGTGATTAATCCACAGGTTTAGTACAGTGGGATCTGCAAATCCTTGTCACTACATACTGAAGAGCTGAGCTCAATGCATGGAATACATTTTCTGATGATGCAAGAGCACTCGTTTTTTTTTTAATCAGTCTAACTGACAACCGAGTCACTGATTAACTACCTCAATAATGTGTATCAGGCAACTTAGTTAACACAGGGCTTGAACAGCTAATAGGCATTGTTAAAGCAGCGTGTAAGCAGCCATCCAGGTAACCTCCTGTGTATCTATTTGTGTATTGCAGAAATGTCTCACTTCGTGTCTAACGGAGATGGGCTGGTGGTCACCGTGGACAGTGAGTCTGGGGATGTACTCTGGATTCAGAATTATGCTTCTCCTGTGGTAGCTTTTTACATCTGGCAACGTGAAGGGTTGCGGAAAGTAATGCACACAAACGTGGGCATAGAAACTCTGCGCTACTTGACGTTCATGTCTGGGGAGGTTGGACACATTACCAAATGGAAATACCCTTTCCCAAAGGAAACAGAGACCAAGAGCAAATTAACGTGAGCATTAATATTCTTGTTGTTCTCACCATCTATTGGACAGACCTTTGTCATTAAAACCTTATCTGTATTCATATGCTTAATGATTGTTTTAGCATTTTCAAGACGGTGGAAAGAATCCATCATCTTGATGGATACATAAAACATAAAAGCAACCCTTGCTCTCCAGCTTTACTGTATGTCATATTTGTTCTATTACTCTTTAAAGGAGGAGATAAAAGAAAAAACAATCAGAAATTTAGCAGGATAGGTAGAAGATCTGTCAGATCTTTTCTGTTGAATTAATAAAGGATTTTTTTTTAAAATGTGAAACATTGAGGTGCATAGCATTTTGGTTAACCTTGATTACTGAATAATGCAGAAATAGGAACTGAGTTCTGTCAAATGAGGAATTGTGATATTAATTAACAAGGCTTTCAGAATTAAAAAGTACAGCAATACTTAAAAAGAATTTAGAAAGCCATTTTTTCAAGGAATAAATATTGATGATTTTGGAAACTCAATTATTTCTGAAGGATTGTGTTACCAAGGTTTTAGCTAAGAATATGAACTATGCATTTGGCTATTGTTCTCTCACGTGGATTGTGTGTGTATTTATTTATTTCCCCTAGACCAACTCTATATGTAGGAAAGTATTCCACGAGTTTGTATGCATCACCATCGATGGTGCATGAAGGAGTAACTGTCGTGGTAAGTAGGGAGCTGACAGAGCTATATGATACCTTCTGAAAAGTCCCCTTTAAAACAGATATCTTTCCATTAAAAAAATAAAATAAAGTGCAAACATACATATTGTGCCAGCCAGGCTTAATGGAGTGGACTGGAGGCTGCGTTGTGCTGTGTTGGTGCATTGGGCTTACTGATGATAAAATTGCCATTGTGTTCATCAGCACAACTTCCCCCAGATAGGAGACTCCCCTGTAGTTCTGTTTGGTTCACCCTGAAGCTTTCCAGGTAGGAAATAAAGATCCTGTTTCACTTTTCTTGAAAAGAAAGAGAGGGTAATCTCCTCTCCTAGGCAACATGCAACATAGAAGGGAAGCAGGTCTCATGTCCAGGATTGTTTGAGCAGTGGCTGAGGGTATTTACTTTCAGCCATTTTTCTGCCAATATGTAAGTTCTGCTTGTCCATTCTGACCTGCATTTTGACTTGATTTCTTCAATATTACAGAGGCAAAGTGCTTCGTCAATTGTAACACTTCATCTCTCTTCCTAGCCCCGTGGCAGTGCCTTGCCCTTGCTAGAGGGTCCGAAAACAGAAGGGGTCACGATTGGAGACAGCGGCGAGTGTGTTATCACCCCCAGTACGGATATAAAGTTTTCGGGCAGGCTGAAAGAAAAGAACAAACTCCACTATTGGAATGACTGGCTCTTAATCGGTACGCGGGCTCCCTGCCCTGGCCCTGCCTGCAGCTCTGCGGTGTCTCATTGCCACCTCGTGGACACAGTTACCTTCCCACCTCAGCGCAAAGGACTGCCTAAAGTCCAGTGCCCAGCAATTACTTAATTCTAGTAGTCATTATATGTGCAATATTAATTCTTCCTCTTTTGCATCTGAATTGCAGTAATGTCTGTAAGGACACAGCTGCGTATTTTTATTTCCAAGGCCCCTGCTTTATTCCTTGCATCGGATGAAGTGTTCTGCTTAGGGTGTGGAAAGGTGTTTAATTAAAGTATTTTGGCCCTTTGTCCAGAAAAGGGTTAAAAATAGTTTATTATTTACCTCATGTAAAGTTTTCTGGTTCTTCAGTTCTGTTGAACTTTTTAATCATGCGTAGTATTACCTTATTTCTCGCCAATCCATATGGCGAGAATTGCTTTCCCCATTTACAAATGGGACACTGAGGCACAGATATTAAAGCTTTTATTAATAAAATGTCAGCCTATTTTGTGTGTCCCAAACCCCCAAATGCAGGAACACTTTTTTTCAGGAATATTTACAATTTTTCTTCAGAAATGAAGAACCATCTGTGGTTCTGTTGTTTTAAGTAAGTGATGTAAATTTTATAATTAAGTGACATATCATGTGCTGTATGCTCTCTGTGGGAGGGATGTAGCTTCCAGCTGCCTTAACTACTGCCTTTCTCTTTCTGTATTCCCTTCCTGGTCTGTTTTTTAATGGACCAGCTCTTTCAGTAAGTGAATAAAGCTCTGACAAATCTTAAATTTTAGCAAATATGTTTTATTTAAAGGGCATCACGAAACACCATTATCTGCCCCTACAAAGATCTTGGAGAAATTCCCAAGCAACCTACCTAAAAGGCCTGAAAATGTGATCCCAGCTGACTCTCATAAAGCCACTATGGAAGAGGTTTGTGATGATAACGATCATCTTACTGGTTGATTGAAGGCTAAGGAAAAACAGTGGAAATTCAGGGAAGAAGTAAGAAGAAAAGCTGCATGGAATTACATTGACCTAACAGAGCTTTCTCTGCCTCTTAGGTTATTGACATAGTTGAGGGTTCCTCAACGGAAGTGCCACCAGCCGTTCCACAGGATATTGAGGAGAAACCTGCTCGGCCAATTCCTCGTCCAGAGGCTCCCGTAGACTCGATGTTGAAAGACATGGCCACGATCATTCTCAGCACCTTCCTGCTTGTGGGCTGGGTGGCTTTTATCATCACATACCCAATGGTAAGACTGACTTGATGCTTTTGTGAGTTCTGGAAGAGATAGTAACGCTTGGCAGCTTAGCCTAGAAATGACTTGGGGGGGTAGGAAAAAACCCTCTGGAGATGTCTCGATAATTCCCACATGCAGTGGGTCAGCTCGTGCCCTATTAACTGGTGTGATTTCTCAGCTCTGCTGTGAGAATTCACAGTGAAATGGAGACCCTGGGAGCGAAGGCCTCTTTAGTTCCACAGCCTCCTTGGCTGCTAGTGTGGTAACATGAAAAAATTCTTCTGTCTTCTAATGTGCCAATGCCCCAATAACTGTAGATTTCCTTTGTGTGACATGACTGTAAGAAATAGCTTCTCTTGTGGCCCTGGGATCCCTTTCCTCTCCCACAGAGTGTTCATCACCAGCAACAGAGACAGCATCAGCTGGAGGAGAAGATACAGCTCTTGCAGCAGCAGCAGCAGCAGCAGCTGCCCTTCGGTGCTCCCAGCGACGTGGCGGCAGAAGCAGATTTCCTGGATGCCTCCTATGGACGGACAGAGAGCTCGGCTACCAGCACGCCAAATCTGTCCCCCAGGGCGTCCAACCATTCTGCCTATTCCAACATCTCCACGTCGGATGTCGGGAGCTGTCTCTCCACTGAGCAAGAAGAGGGAGGTGAGTTGAGCTTTATGAAGGTTCTTTCATTGAGAGTCACCATATTTCTCCAACCTGTTTGGTAACGTAGCAAACGTTAAAAACCGGTCTCTTGTGCTGTTCGAGTCATGACCAACTGGTGTGTACAGCTTGGGTTTGAATGTGGTGGATTACATGGTCACGTGTCAATATTTGCTGGTTCAGTATAAGTACCAAAATGGAGATGTTACTTTGTTTTGATCATGTGTGTTGTAAATTTAAACATGAGCAAAAGGATTTTTGCACCCTTGCCTAGAAGGGTGTACACTTGTAGAAGGCTGGGTTTTATCCATTGAGAGTCCTGTTTCTTGTTCTCTGTTCAGATGAAGCTACAAACAGAGTGATGGTTGGCAAGATTTCTTTTAATCCCAAAGATGTATTGGGGCATGGAGCTGAAGGAACAATTGTTTACAGGTAGGAAATGATACATGCATTCAGCTTTAAATGGATTAAGTAATATCTTATTTGCAGTAGGATTTTTTCCCTTTCTAAAAACAGTTATATAATACGAACAGAAACGGAAATTTTGAAGTAGTATTTTGAGTGTGTCTGGAATATTTTTCTGCAGTGTTTCTTCACTAGAAAAAAAAAAATCTTTCCCTTGGAACTGTTTAGTAAATAAAGCTTTAATGAGAGTAGATGTTTCCAACACGGGAATGCTTTTTTACTGTGCCTCTGTAAAATGGCATCTGTTGTCATTTACTTACATAGTTTTAGCTTTTAGAGAGTCTAAAAGCTCTATGATGATGGTTCCTGTCTGCAGGGGGACATTTGATAACCGGGATGTTGCAGTGAAAAGAATTCTCCCCGAGTGCTTCAGCTTTGCAGACCGTGAGGTGCAGCTGCTGCGCGAGTCCGACGAGCATCCGAACGTGATCCGCTATTTCTGCACGGAGAAGGACCGGCAGTTCCAGTACATCGCCATTGAGCTGTGCGCGGCCACCCTGCAGGAGGTGAGGGGCCCTAAGCAAACCTGAGGAACGTGGGGACGTCCTCCTGCGGGGAGCCCGGGCAGCTGCCGGAGTGTCGCGTGCTGAAGTGGCTGCCACTGGCGCTGCGCCGGGGGTGCTGGACACCACCTGGGGGCAGTTACACAGCGCTGCAGCAGTGCGGGGCTCAGAGCTCTTCCCAGCCAGGTGCCAGCTGGAAGCTCTTGTCCTTGTGTTTTCCTTCTCGAGAAGGACTTGCTTTTACTTATCCTGCCTCCAGAAGGACTTGGATGTCCTCCCACATGGTTGCCTCTGGAGGCAACAGTGCTAGGTAGCCTCTGCCCTCCAATTGATGTTACAGAGATTACCTTTACAGAGGAAAAAAAAAGCCTCTTACGAGTGTGTAAGCAGCTAGCATTAGCTTGGCTGCAGTTTTCCTAGTTTAATGCTTTTTTTGGGGGGGGCAAGGGGTGGTAAACCTTATCTTGGTGGAGGCTAATGCTAAGCGTTGGTTTATGCGGTATCAAGTGTCTTTGTGTTTTGATTTATAGTATGTTGAACAGAAGGCCTTCAGTCACCATGACTTACAACCCATCACTCTCCTGCAGCAGACGACATCGGGGCTCGCTTACCTGCACTCCCTCAGTATCGGTAGGAATTACCTCTCCTCTCAGCAGGGGCTGCAGTTCTGAACTGTAAGAGACGCAGAGCTGCAGCAGGCAGGGTGTGCATGTAGTTGGTGAAGAGCGTGTTCCAGTGAACCATCAGCTCTGGTCTCCGCGCACGTACACACACACACACACACACACACACACAGTCTCTCACTCTCATTCTGTTTTTTTAAAAATTTTTTGTTCCCACTTTCTCCTGTCCTTTCCTGAGTTTGCTCTATGAGAGTTTTCTCAGTAGCACAGAGCCTTGTGGCTCTGTTGCCAGCAAGACGTTGTTTTTTGTTCTTGTACTTGTTTGACACAGTGACTGCCTACCTTTAAAACTAACAACTGCTGACTGCCTGAGGACTAAAGCTATTGTTCCCTTTTTTTTTTTTTTTTTTTTTTTTTTTATTAATTTTTTCGGCTCCAATTTTCAGGTCTCCACACTTTAGTGCAGAGAACTATGTTAACTTCGACTTCTTAAAGCTGATGTGATGAACCACTAGCAAAGACAATAGCTTTAGGCTAAAAGACCTTGATTTAACAAAATGGGGTTCATTGTCTAAAGATTACAATGCAAATACATTAAAGGTTGACCTGTGTCACTGGGAATGGCCTAGAGGGACTAAAAAAAGTGATGTGTGTAATAGTCCACAGGGACCTGAAGCCCCACAACATCCTCATCTCGATGCCCAACGCGCATGGGAAGGTCAAAGCGATGATCTCGGACTTCGGGCTGTGCAAGAAGCTGGCCGTGGGCAGGGACAGCTTCAGCCGCCGCTCGGGGGAGGCCGGCACCGAGGGCTGGATCGCCCCCGAGATGCTGAGCGAAGACTGCAAGGAGAACCCCGTGAGTGTCCAGCTTTCAGCCTCCGCCCAAGACCACAGTGCAGGGCACGTGGGCTCAGCGCTGCCTGTGCCCTCATGCTGGCTTGCAGCTGAATTAACAATAGCACACATGCCTTTTTTATATAAATATATAGCCTCCCCACCCCCATTTGCTTTCATGTGATATAAATGTGAGTCTGGAAGGTTTCCTGCCCTCCGATGCACAAGTAACCCCGTTGTGATGATCCAAACTCGTCAGGGGGAGAGTGGCCGGGGAGTTGGGGGAAGAGAGTGCAGGTGCCATGAAGGGTTATTTATTTGCAGACATGTACTGTGGACATCTTTTCAGCTGGGTGTGTCTTTTATTACGTGGTGTCCGAAGGCAGCCACCCCTTTGGCAAATCCCTGCAGCGGCAAGCCAACATCCTGCTTGGTGCATACAGCCTGGACTCGCTGAGTGCAGAGACACACGGTGAGAAAACTAAGTGCTACAAGAGCTTGGTGACATGTCAGTGGGTGCTAAAGAATAGAAATGAGAGCAAAACTATGACCCACACTGAAATAGGTAATGTTGGACATTACACAATTACACCTAGGCTCCCCCCCCCCCGATATATTAGACATAAGGACTTGAAGGACGTGAAATTACTGCCCCCAAGCAAAGAAGTGATAGACAATTTAGCACATTGCAGCCTTTACCACTCTAGCATTTATTTAATAGATAGGGAAGAGGTGAACTTTGATCTTCATAATTGCGCTGTTTCAACAGACTGGACTGTCGGGTGTTGTGCACTGTACATACGAGGGTGGTACTGGAACATTCAGGATTGTATCAGAAATAGGAGGAAAACATGATTTCCTAAAGGTACAGAACATTAGCTTTCCGGACAGCCTGTGAATTATCACCCTTTTCTCCTTGCAGAAGACATAGTTGCTCGTGATTTAATAGAGCAAATGATAAACATGGACCCTCAGAAACGTCCGTCTGCCAGCTGTGTGCTAAAGCACCCATTCTTTTGGAGTTTAGAAAAACAGCTCCAGTTTTTTCAGGTTTGTCGTGACCCTTTTCAATCATTTCAGTGCTAAGGACTGCGCTAAACATTTTTCAGATCTTTAATTCCAACTCTAACCTGGGAGTGTTGGGAATAGAATCCCCAACCTTACTGTAAGGAAACACTGTTATCAACCTAAATTTGAGCAAGGAAGACTTGCAATAGGGCAGCAGCGCCCACCACCCTAGGCCTTGCCAAGCAGGGGGTTAGGTGCAAGGCAGCCCCGTGGGGTCATCAGTCCTGATTTGCGGTGGGAACTGGCTGAGGACTCGAGGCTCTTTCCACTCTTACGCTCTCCTCTGTGATGGTGAAATACCAGCTCCGGCCCACCCCTCGTCCCCTCCCCAGCAGAACTCGTCCTATTGTACTTGTTCTACCTCTTGACAAAGTAGGAGTGCCCAAAGGAGCAATTTTAAGTAGTCGGGAAACCTGCAAGTAAAACTATTAATAACCTGTTTCTTCCAGGATGTCAGTGACCGGATAGAGAAGGAAGCCTTAGATGGTCCAATTGTCCGGCAATTAGAAAAAAAAGGAAGAGAAGTGGTGAAAATGGATTGGAGAGAACACATCACTGTGCCTCTTCAGACAGGTAATGAGGTTACATGTTGGGATAGCGCTTTTTCCTGGTTTGCATGGACAGGAACATAACAATAACTGTGTCTTAGCTGCAGCAGATGAGCTTTACTTATGAGCAAAGTAGTTATGTGAGTAAAAAGATATATCAAGATATTTGAAACACATCTATAAACATCCATGGAAGTATCTTAATGCAACCAGCTTAAACACAGGACCATGGCATAAAAGGTTTTTTCTTTTTTCCAGATCTTCGAAAATTCAGATCATACAAAGGGGGCTCAGTACGGGATCTCCTGAGGGCAATGAGAAATAAGGTAAAGAACTTGGAGCATAAATGTGCACATCCAAGGTACTCAGGCCCCCGTACCCATTGCCCCCTGCTTTAGGCTGAGTAAACAACGTGGAGCGGAATCTGCCTCTACTTGTTTTTTGCCAGTCTTTCTCTCTCACCCCATTTTAGGGTTTGAGATCTTTACAATGAGCTTTGTCCAGGAAAATGAATTTTGTTCAGACAGATCTATTTGAAAGAGTGACCTTAGACAAGCCATGATGGAGCTCTTCCCTGGTTTTCTTTTCCAGAAGCACCATTACCGAGAACTGCCTCCTGAGGTGCAGGAGACGCTGGGCTCCATCCCAGATGACTTTGTATGTTACTTCACCGTTCGTTTCCCTCACCTGCTCCTGCACACCTACAAAGCCATGCAGATTTGCTGCCACGAAAGACTGTTCCAGCAATACTATAGCCAGGACTCTGCAGGGAAGAGTCTGCCAGGAGACACTGTTTGAAAACAAGGGGGATGGAGCTTCCCTCTCGGGGACAGACATTCCAAGCACAGGGCTGTAAAACAGCCCTACCTTTAGCAGGGAAAAGTGGGATCACCGAAGAGCTGAATTCTCTCTTTGAGGAAACCAAGCTTCTAAGAAGTGCCTTGTACTGTCTGCACTGCATCAGGAGACAGCAGGAGCCCAAGGAGTAAGGGGTAACTTCACAAAAGCAATGAGCCCTCATGGTGGAGTTATCCCAAGGGAGTGAAAGTGGAGTACAGTGGTATAACCATCATGCCATATCCCTCTACTGTAGTTTAACTCATGTATTTTTCTGCACAGAATCAAAACACAGTGATTGAAATCATGTAATTATTGAGATCTGCAAGAGGAGCCTTTTAGTTGTAGCAAAGCATCAGACCCTGCCCTTGCACTACTGCCACAGGCTGCACTAGGCCCAGTACCAACACTGGAAAAGGGAATCACTTTCAATTATGCAAACCAGGAAAGAGAATACAATTTGTTTTTTTCCCCACAACTACTGTGGAAAATCAGACCCTCATACTTGAGCACAAAAAATGAAGTTAGAAAAAAAATGACTAGAAAAATCAAATTGGTTAAAAACATTTATTTACTTTGAAAATAAGGCTTATTGCTTAAATATCACCCAGTGTTCATGGGAGTTTGAGCAGTAGAGTTAAATCAGAGAAAATCTTCAGAAGAAACTTTGCATACATTGATGGCAGCTGCTTTAAGAGACTGATTTTTGTACTGCAGGTGTTCCTTACTTTCTACTAAAGCGGGGTTGTCAGCTGCAGATCAGAGGGAACAAAAGAGGAAGCAACAAGAGGTACAGAGCAGTATGTTTGAACAGGTGAGATCAAGCTGTGCAAGTAGCTTGTTTTGTTCTGTATGAGTTGATAATTATGTCCAAGGGAGGCTGATGTTTTTAAAGATGCAGTATTTCTTTTCATTGGCCCTAAAGCTGTGACAAAGCATTAAGTGTGTGTGAAGCATTTAAGAAATGCTCAATTCTAATATGATACAAGTGAGGTGTTCTTTTACAATATATTTATTTAACATATTTATATTTATTTAATTTTTACTACAAAGTGGTATTAAATCCAAGTGGTACAAGTATAAAGCATGCCAAGTCTTTCTGAATCGTTCTTCTAATTTATCATACTAAAACAACTGGAAAAGTGATACTGCATCTTTCAATGACACATTTGTCTATTCCCGCTAATGGGGAAGATTACAAAGTGAGGGCAGTTAATGCATCTGATTGTGCCATTATATCTTAAACTAGTAAATTATTGACAGTTATATGTATGATTGAATACATACAGCCACTTCTCTAGAGCTACTTTACTGGAGGCTTTTTCCTAGTTTTATAATGTATGAGAGCAAATATTTACCTAAGATGCCAAACTGAGCAAGTTACATGTTTCTAAAGCTGAAAAGGTAGTTTTTACCTAAAAAGATTCAAAGCCTATTCCATATTTTTGTACTTCTCATGTAAAGTTTTTATAATTTTACTAAATAAAGACTTGTACTCAAATGAACCAGCCTCAGAAACAGGTCACCTTCTCCTGCCTGCGCGTGGCAATGAGCCGGGCGCCGCGGTGCTGCGGTAGCGGCTCTTCCCCAAGCAGGACGGCGCCCGAGAGAGGCTGAAGTTGCCCCCTCCTGGGGCTAGAGGCTGCTCGGCCCCCCCGGCTGCCCCTCGGGGCCCCGGGCAGAGAGCCCTGTCCCCGAGCACCACTCACCTCGCGCCCACCCGCGCGGCGGCTCTGCCCGCAGCGACGGCGGCGCCGCGGGGTGGGGGCCGGCCCTCGCTTTCCTCCAGCGCTCTGCTGGGCTGGCCTGGAGGGAGCGAATGCGGCAGGAGAGAACCTGGAAGAATTCTGCCTAGTTAAACCACCACCACCAGCACAGCACCAGCCACTGCTCAGCTCCATCACTGGAACAACCGGGCAGAGCAGAGATCCTTCCCCACAGCAACACGCCGCCTGTACGAACCCGCATCCTGCTCAACCAGAGACACCACCCAGTACAGGAGCACGGGGAGGAGGCAGTGAAGTGGCTTTGCACTTCGCAGTGATAATTTAAAAACAACTCCCCTACCTGGTCTCCAACTTCGGTTTTGTATCATACTTGTTTCTCTCTGTAAATATTACGTACCATACTGGATATATCTGTATGTGGAAAGAGGGGTGAGACTAAGCAGTTACATAGCCACCAAAGACTATAAAACGCTAACAGTTCTTAGAAGTAGTCTAGAGCAACCCCAACATCAGGAAAAACATTTTGGAGCACTACCCGAGACATATCCGCATGGGGCACAGCTTAGAGAAGCGCCTTACATACATGCCCGTTATTGAAAGCACTCTCACTCCACCTAATCCGATTTACTAACTTGGAAAACGGATTCTGTTGTCAGCACCATGCCTGCAACCATTTCAGATTAAGCTTTTAGTGATAAAATGCCTGTCAGCATTGCAGGCTTGCGTTGTTTGATATTGTTAAGTGCCTGTAACATTTAAGGAGAACTGAAATTTCTACATGAGCTGAATTATCCTACCTGTATGTACAGTTCTAAGAATAAAAAAGGGCCGATTTGGTTTCCTTCGGTCAGGATCTGGGCACAGTTAACACCTGTAAAAGGAATTGCAAACTGCAGTGAAATTAGAGCAGCAGCAGCAAGGTCTCAGACAGGATGAAGCCAGAGAATATTCCATCTAGTCCACACCTTCACCTGCCTCCAGTCCCCAGAAGCAGGAGCAAAGCCTGGAACAGCTGTGAGGGGGACTCTGGAGGCTCCCTAACCCTGAGCTCAGGCTGCAGATCCTTTGTCCAAAGGCCATGTTCAAAGTCTTTCTCTGAGGTCTTGCTTCTCAAAGATATCTACTTTTCCCCCTATAAGGAGAAGCTGAGATTCAAATCCTTTCGCCTTATCAATGCATTATAAACCGAGGGCCTCCTTTACCCCTTTTCCCAATAAAGGCAGAAGAGTTGCGAGAAAAAAGCCCAACCTCATACTCCAGCACTCCAGTTTCCCCCCCACGCCCACCAGTGCAGAACTAGCTGACACTCAGAGAACAGATCCATCCTCCCACACCTGCTCACATCCAAACACCCCAAGTTTGGGGAGTCAAAGCCAGCAGGGTAAAAGGCTCCTTCCTCTAGGGATTTTAGGACCAAGGTTGTTTCTCTGCCTCTCAAATGCACCCTCAGATTGCCCTAGTGCCAAAAACCACCCATGAACCCCAGCAAGGACACTGCCTTCCCCATCCTGCTCAGCTTGAGACGGTGCTCGACTCGGCCTTGAGCTCATTTCACCTATCTATGATTCATTCCAGATAGGGCAATATAAAGATCATGGATTATTTTTCCTCTTATCTCTGAGAAGTCAGTGCAGAGTAGCAGTTAAATGAGACCAAACTGCCCACTAACCTGTTCTCCCCCTTGGTGCTGCAATTGTCACTGCTGAGTGCTGGTTCCAGGATTAAGCTAGCACATCTCTCCAGTTTTGCTCCAAAAGATTTAATCCTCCTCTACTAGGTAGCATGAAAATGCCACTCAGTACTTCTCCCCACATTCCCAGACTCTTTAACCTAAAATAGCTATACTTTTTGTAGAGTCAAATCATCAGGAGACAAGAATAACAACAGTCATAAAGATTGAAGTGCCACATGGTAAAGCTCCTATGAATGACTTCCCACACAATTTACAAGGAAGAGAACCAGTACAAAGTTATTTAAACTGAAACACCAAAGGGGAATTTTATACTTACTGCAGTGTATTTGTTAGCTGTTTCAGCATCTTACATAAGTCCTCAAGGAAGGGAAAAAATACACAGAAACAGTGGTTCACTGGTGTTTAATCAGGCTGCTACAAAGAGGTAGACACAGGCTCACAGAAGGTGATGCAAATCATCATCAGATGCAAATCATGTTAGTTCCATATTTTCTTCAGGTCTTGTTTATAAACCAAATGCTATAAAATTAAGCCGCAGTTACTGTTACGCTTATTTGCATGCATTAAAGTGATGCATTTACTTACCAGTTTCTCACTTCCTGGAATTAAACAAACTTACCAATATTTGCCACTTGCCTTTTGAAAAACATCAGTGTGAATCCCTTTCGTACTACTTTCACAAAAGCAGGATCAAGTTACGTTAAAATGAAATCAGCAACACAGTGTTTTTCCTGGTTGTGCTAACACTGAGCGGGGCCGCAGTTTGATCGTGTGCTCCAAGACACGTTAAGATATAATGAAAAGCTGCAGGGAGCCCTGATTCACCCTGCAGCAAGGGGAGCCTCTCGGGGGAGCTGGGGAACCTCGAGGCCCAAGCTGAAGCGCCCACCTGCTCCCCTGCCCTGTGCCACTACAGGGACAGGGACTCCCTGCTGCACCGACGGGACAGCGGCTGCAACGTGGGACCAACAGCTGAACGACAGCTTAAGCCTGCTCACCAGCTGGGAAAGGTCCTGCTCCTGGTATTCTCTTTAGTACCCCCTCAAAGAGAAGGAAGTTTAATGCTACCACCATGTCCTGTCATCAAGGGCCTTCTCCCAAAGCTGAGCCTAGGGCCCCCCCGCAGAGCTGCGCGCTTGCCGAGGAGACACCACAGAACAGCCCCCTGCAGTGACTCCCGCTGCGGCCGAGCCCGGGGCAGGCTGAGCAGGTCGGCACAGGGCAACGCGGCAGCGCAGGCGGGAGCCGCTCAGCGTGCGGTGTCAGCGGGGAAAAGAAAGATGCAAACGCTCCATTGGAGATAATGGTCTCGTAGCAACGAACCCCATTTAGTCACGCACATCTGCACTTAGATTTAGGAGATGGAGAGGACAAATCAGTTATAGAATTTATTATGAAAAGTTCCACCAGTTGTTCACATTAGCATGTAACTACTGCAGGCAAAACAGGTTAGTGTAGATGCCCCAGAACCAGCATAGAGAAAACACCAGGAGATATAAACTAATGCAACTATTGTTGCTTTTAACTATCCTAAAACCTGCAAAAATATGTTCCTTTGATCATGCATTTACAGACTAGTATGATGAATTGTGCAGAGTTGTGTAAGACTTCAAAATTCTAAAAGCACTGGAAGTGTCAAGTCTACGGAGTCTCTGGCAAAACTACCGCAGCTC